TGTTGTTACAGACTTTGTTGTTGCAAAGAGAAGGAACTTTCTAATGCCAAGGTCCCAAGGAACTGTGTCAGGACTGGGGACAGCCCTGCCTCCTTGTTCCCCACACCCATGTTATTTATTCGCTCCTGATGCTTTCTTTGCTGTGTGGAGCTGGCTTTCCCCAAATATGGAGATTTTCTACAGCATAATGTGTTGGGGGACAGGCTTCTCTCACACCCGAGGTTCAGGGGACCCTATGACACCTCAGCTCTGGAATCCTAACCTGTGTTCTGGAGAGACCACCTCCTCCCTCCAACTTCAAGTCTTTGAGCTGCAGCCTGGGGGTGGGGTGGGGGAACAGAACCCCATTGAACTAGATGAGAAGATTGAACGCGAATTCGGAATAAATTCTGGGGGAATGTCTCTGTTACCAAGCCCATGTTTTCTTGTCCCACAGCAGGTCTTCTCTGGCCATAGGGTAACCCCCAAACTCAGAGCCATCACCCCCTATGGTGTTCATTGCAAAGGCAGGCCTCCCAGCACCCCCCACCCCCAGCTGATTCTAGTGTTAGAAAACCATGGGGTACATTTTGCTAAATACTAGGGTGTCTCAGGACCAGGGGGCTCTCAGGGAGCCATGTTCCCAGGAATTTGGGGGTGGGAAAAGTGAGGGCAGGCTCATGGGTGCCAGAAAGGGGCCCTGGACCTTGAGTGGGGAGCAAGCCCTTTCTCACTGGCCCTTCCTGGGAAGGAGGGAGGGCAAGGTGGGGCTCCAGACACGAGATAACACCAGAGACATCCAGAGGCTCAGAAACCTAGTCTCACACGAGAGGCCTGAGGAGAAAGTCATCTCAAATCTCAAATCAGAAGGCCCTGTGGTAGCTCCTTACTAAGGGCCAGTCACACCTAGCGCCTGGCTCCTCTGTCTGCTAGCTGGGTAACGGACATCAGTTTCGTGACCCCTTTGGGCTTCTCCCCTCTCGTTCATTAAGTGGGTTTACTAGAAAGTGTGGCATCATCCTCCCTGGTGTCACAGGGCACCCCCAAGGGGTAACGGGCACCGGACTGTGGGTCCTCACCTGTGTGCCTAAAAGGAGTGTAGAGTGAGACTTACTGCAAGCACACACAAAACAGAGAAGAAAGGGTTTATCTGCAGAAGGAGGGGAGATGAAGAAGGGAGTCACTCGGGGAGAAAGAGAGGCCGATAAATTGGTGAAGGTGCCTACCAGTGCTGCTGATCTGGGACCCCAACCGCATGCTGAGAACCGGTGAAAACCAAGAGCCCAGAGAGCCAAAAGCCAAGAGAACAAGAGCCGCCCACGGCCCACATGTCTGTTTTTGTACCCAACCTGCTGCGTAACTCCACCCTCGGGCCCCAGCATGCTCCCTTGGGTGGTGATGATGGGATTTGTAGTCCTGGTGTCTGGATCTCTTCGGTCTGGGCTGGCGTGGGGTCCATAAACCTGTTTGTGGAGTTTGTTCAGGACCTCCCCGGCTCCCAGCTCTGGGACAGTTCCGGCAGGAGTCAGTGCGTTTCAGGATGTCGCTTTCATATGGCAGAGGGAAGAGCCCGACTGTTCTTCCCTCGCTACCAGGGTCACAGGAGCTTAGAGTGTTAACAGATCCATCTTAGGGAGCCCTGTAGAGCCTCTTCCGTGTGCTCGGCCTCCCTGGCTCAGTGGTTCCCCCACCTGCCCACCGGGGCTTGCTCCCCAGGCCGGGGAAGGGACATGTGAGCCAGCCAGGGATTGGGGGGTCCATCTTCTCCAGAATCTGCAAGTCCGAGACCAGCACCCTGTGCCTGTCCTAACACTCCCTTGCAGGGCTCACTGTCCCTGAGTGTGGCCCCCACAGGCGCCTGGGACCTGAACAGCACCCTCCCTCACCTGGCCCTGGGGTTTAATCAAAAACGCATTCAAAATATGATT